AATTCACATTTTGAAGTTCAACTGTTTTATCCAAAACTTTTACCTTCAGCCGCTGACGACGCGCCCCAGCTTCGGCTGTGCTCTCCTCCGCCTCCTGCCCTAGAGGTTTGCCACCCATTTTTAATTTATTTCCACTTAAAAAACGAAGTGCACGACGCGAACGCTAGAAAAGAAGGCCACGGGCATAGGCTCAGCTTCCAAGTTCCAATCCCACTCACACATCTGCCTCCTCCTCCCTGCTCTCTGGGTGTCTCTCATCGGCAGCATCCGCTGCTCGCATCCTGTGCGTGCGTCCGGTGGAGCGCGGGTCGGCGCTGAGTTCGGGCTTTGGGTACTTGGCTGTGGATGGCGGCGTTATCGGGTGGTTCGTGTGGGCTGTTGCCGTGCACACCACAGTGGCAATATCCTCATCCGCCCATTGCCTGCCGCCCGCCTGCTGTACGCCTGCGAGGGGTGCCCTCCATATTTTCACTTATCACAGATCCCACTCCTGGCGGCCCAAAAAACTTAAATCCGCATGTCGAAAGCGATTAAACAGTTACCGTGTGGCTGTGTCCTGAATGTGCTGGAGCTGGAACTGTTGGCTCTTAGCCGCTGACTGCTGGCTGTTGGCTGTTGGCTGCTTCTTCATTTGTTCAGAATTAAAACAAAAGCATCCAAAGGATAAAATTAGTCACCGCAGTGACAGTAATTCAGACCACCTCTCCTCTTTGTCTCTCTCCATCTCTCTATCCCTCTCTCTACTCTCTACTTCTCTCTATGTGTGCCAGTGGCTTTGCAGTTTAATGCAGGAAGTTTTCACAGCGCAGAGGAACTTCCCACTCCCGTCGAGGGAATTCGTTGCGCCACTCGGCAACAACTGTGCAACATTCGGTGGCTCTGCCGTTTGATTAATTGCAATTTAAACGGTTTCAATTAAGGCAATGGCGCATCTTTCTGCTGCACAGCGGCCCAGAGCCCAAAAACAAGCGCAAACAATTTTGTTCTCTTCTTTGTTTTTGCCCCTAAACGTAATATCAATTGAATTGATTTGATGGCATTGACAGACAACGCTGCAGCTGGTGCCGTCTCCAGATATGTATATTCGCTGCGTGGATAATTTTTGTAATTTTTTTTTTTTTTTTTTTGAAAATTAATGAATGATTTTCTATGGAAATTTTTGTGCCGTTTCGAATTGAGGGGAAGTGCACTATAATAACAGGTAATACGGTTTAAAACATTTCAAAATAATTTGAAAACGCGAAGCACCTGCATTGCGCTCTCAATTTAGTTTGCATAGTTGATTATGTAAAATGTGATGCATATCGAAAAGTTGTTGCATAGCAACATTTTTTATGTGATCAACTAATTAAACTAATGTCAATTACAATTACAGCAATGCATAAACAAATATTTAGTCATATAATAAAATATTTAAATATACATATACATATATATTAAATATTTTTGTTTCTATTATATAAATTATTACATATATGTCTGTATAAAAGCATTTAATTATACCAGCAATTAAGTCATATAATAAAGTATTAAAATCAATATATTTATATTTTATATGTTTAAAAAAATTATTTTTGCTTAGAAAAGTATTCAAACTAAGATTGCAGAGTTGAAAGTTATTGATTTATGTATATAGTAACAATTAAATGTTTAGTAACTTTAAGAAAGCTGAACAGAGTTGCTTCTAGTATGCAAGTATAGCAGAGATCAGTTACTGATATAACTCTACTTGGAACTTGAAACAAATTTCCATTGTAAAATATTGAGAAATTACCATACTCTAATATTCAATCAAAAAATTTCAATTAACTATCGATTGCTCAGATAAATATTAAATTAAATTGAATCAATAAATTTTTTAACTTTCTAATATATTTTCAGATAAACAACTTACTCAGAATAAAGAAAATAAAATAATAACAAATAATAATAAACGATGTAATCTGTATCTTTCTTAAAGAGTCTTTAAGCCCTGAACAGCTTGTTCTCGCTGTTGATTATGGCTGAGCTTAAGCTCTGCATGATTTGTGGCAGTATTATTCTCATATTCATCAATGTGTGTTGCAGCTCTTTAAGCATATGCTTCCACACATATGCCACCCCTCTCTATATAGGTCTGTCTGTCTGTCTTTCGTTTTCGTTGTCTTGCCCGCCCTTTTGGCAGTTGTTGCCATGGTCAAGACACAACAATGGCCAACGAGTGGCCGCGAGTGCAGCCAAGGATTAATTCCTAATTTCGGCTAATGCCTCGCCAAGTGTTTCGGTTAGTGTTCGCCGGGTTGTTTACATTTCGGGTGTCGTGTTCTTGTGTTTTTGTCTAAATTACCTTGATAGAATGATGGCACAGCCACAGACAGTGCCAGGGCTAGATGTGGTCCCATTTCCATTTCCATTCTCAAACCCAAACCCAAACCCATTCTCAGTGTCTGTGCGTCCCTTCCCATGGCCCAGTTGGCAGGCCGCACTGCCCTACCCCCAGGCTGTCTCGGTATGGGCCTTTAACTGCAGCCCGGCCTTCGGGCCCACATGCTTGCCACCATCATTAATCATGACGTTTCAGCTCTGACACATTTGTCCGATCGGCAGCAGCAGCAGCGGCGGCGGCAACAGCAGCAGCGACGGCGGCAGCGGCGGCGGCTACGCACTATTGTAATGAAAACGTTTTGGAAGCCCTCGTCAAGACGGCGAGTCGTTCGCACAGCGGGAGCGAGGAGTGCGACGACACGTCAATAGACAACGAAAGTCCCGAGATGAGCAATTTGTAGGCAAATATTTTCATAATGCGACCACAACAGAAGCCGCATGTAAATATTGGCCAACTATTAACGAACTATTAGCCACAGTTAGGAGCAGGCTAATTGTAGTTCACAAGGCAATCCAAATTGAATCTGATGACAGGAATTACCTCAAAGCAGTTGCCGAGAATATGTTGAATACAAGTACTTTTAATGGCTGTTTAGAATTGTTTATGATTAATCGGAGTACAACAACATTGATTCGTTTAAAATAGTCAAATAAAATAATAAACAAATATTTATTATTATTGTTTTAAAAGTAAAAATTTGCATGGTAGTTCATAATTTTTTACTGGATAGCACGGAATCTTATTAAAGCATCACTAATACAACAATAAATAGGCTTAAATGCAATAAAGTTTTCTAAATTCCTATGAGAGTTTTGAATATACATATATATTTATTTATATATGTATATTAATTTTATTTATATTTAATTTTATTACATTTTATTTTCAATTTGTAAGCTTTTTGTCTGAGACAATAGTAAATATACCTTATATAAATATTACAAAAAATACTAAGTAACTCCGAAAATATTATTGCAAAAAAACTATTTTTGTTTTTTCAGTTATACTTTTCGATTGGGGCAACATGGTATAAAGTATAGCAATATTAAACAAGTAAGAAGACTCTAGTCGAGACTGCTCGACTAGGAGATACCCTGAACCCTCCAAGCTGATATTCTTATCATTCCGCACTTCTTTTATGCACGCACACATGCATTTACATGCATCCACCCTCACGCGCCCGCTCTCTGCTAACTGCGCAGTAAGCA